GCGACTTCGACATAGTCAAGAACTGGCTCTTGACACCATTCATCCAATAATTCTTGATTCAAGAAATTCTGTCATCCAATTTTGATTTGCAGCTGTAGATGCCAAGTTGGGTCATCCTGGAGTAGACAGAGTTTACGCTCATCTTAGGCGCTACAACTGGATTTTAAAAGGTAGGCAAGCTGTGAAGAAATATCAAAGAAAGTGTCTGGAGTGTGCTAAATGGAAAGGAAAACCAATAGTTCCTAGGATGGCTGATCTTCCTCCATCTAAACTCAATTTGTTCAAACCTCCCTTCTGGTCCACAGGAATGGATTGTTTTGGGCCATTTGTGATCAAGTCTGGTCGCAGGACTGAGAAACGATGGGGATTCGTTCACGCTTAGTAACACATACAGCTGTTCCCTCACCACAGTGCAACAGTGAAAAGGGACCCCTTTCAAACAGTGTCACGTTCCGAACGTTGTTTTAACGACATGCGCATCATAACAAAAATAAACACCGGTATTCGGTATGAACCAGCACTATAGTGGAGTTCATATAAATGGCATCTTTCCTTTTATCATTAAAGGTGACCTATTGTGCCCCTTTTTACAAGATGTAAAATAAGGCCCAATCCCAATTCTACCCCTTAGCCCTTCCCCTACCCCTCTGTTTCGCGCATTCACGTGAAGGGGTAGGGGTGTCTCGATTCTCTTTTGGTTGGAGGGGTAGGGGTAAGAGGAAGGGCCAGATAGCCCTTCAAACTAAGATTTGTCATGACCACACTTCAAACGAAGGGGTATGAATTATCTCAGCGTAAACCGGCTTCAGCGGCAACATGGCTGCCCGAGCGAACAAAAAGACACATAAATGTAAGCATTTTTGGCATTAATAAAGATTTTAACGAAAAGTAATCATTTGTTTTATGTTACATTCAATCATGAGTTCATATTTATGGTCATGTTACTCAAAGAAATGTTTGCAAAAAATCGCTAAAATTTGCTAAAGTCATATAATTACTGCACGATTGTGCCACAACATATTTTCATGTCTGATCAGTGCGATAACCACCATAGACATTGAAGGGGGCTAGTCCCCCCAATAATTACAAATCACTAAACCCTTTTCTCAAATATTGCCAATTCGAGAAAGAGAAAGAGAGAGATGAAAGTTACGTGTGCGTGTCTGTGCGTTTCTCTTTTTAGAGTGAGTTTACTTCAAAAACAGCGATTTTATCCTCTTGTTGCTGGAAAATATAATGTAGCGAATCGATTCAGTATTTAAACTGTCATTAATAAAAGTCGTGGGGCAGCGTTGACAAGTTTCATTTCTCCTGGATGTGTGAGCTGCGCGATCTCCGATGTGTGTGTGTGTGTGTCAGTAAACAGCGCAGTAATATAGAATGGTAAGGCTCTAATGCACACCAGCATAGGTATGTGTATTGTAGAAGCTAGACGACGTGATGACGTGTGACTGTATAGTAGTGGTGTCCCAATTCTTAGGGGAATATTTTCACCCCTACCCCTTGACACTCTGTTTCAACGGACAAGGGGAAGGGTTATAAAGGGGGAAGGGGTAGGGGAAGGGTTATAAAATAGAATTGGGATTGGGCCTAAGTCTCTGATGTCCCCAGTGTGTCAAAATACCCCACAGATAATTTTTTATAGCTTGTTAAAATGGCCACTTTTCAGGTATGAGCCAAAACGCGCCGTTTTTGTGTTTGTCCCTTTAAGAGCTCAACAATAAGCATTTTATCAGGTTCATATTTTTTATTTGACCTGCCAACATTCATGAAATAGCCGATTTATCATTAAATAGTTGTTTTAGTGACATTTTGATAAGTTTAAAAATATCAGTTTTCATTTATTGTTTTTCATTTATTGCCGTGGCAATGAATTTCAATTAAGATATGAGACAAAAGTCTTTTGAAAATGTTTTTTTTTTTTGTTGCAAGAAAATGGTCATACAGTCATTCAAAGTCGGCAACAACAAAACAGAAAAATCTCAGGCAGAGACAATGGTAGCTTTAGCATCATTAGCCTTAAAGAGTGCCAAGGAGCTCTTTCAGAAAGGCAATTTGGAAAACAAAATATGACATGTGATACCTAATTTGTCTGGAGCTGACGTTTGCGCACAAAGCGTTGGTATTGATCCCTCTTTCAGAATCAACCTTTGCGAAAAATCCAACATGGAACTGACCCTCGTTTGTGAGGCAGTCTGGTGTAAAATAATTGGCCCAAACATGCTGTATACTGTAGGACTTTTGGCGCTGACATTGTATATCTCCAGCAGTTAGCTACAGCAAGAAAACAGTAATGGCGGAGTGATGCTTCTCACTCACAGGGCTGTTTATGCTAATAGGGCAGAGATCGTCACAAATGGGCAGGATTTCTCCCTACAGTGATGTCAACGTAGGGACAAATCTGGAATTGCATGTTCAGAGAGACTGTTTATGATTTATTGGGATTATAAACAAATGAGTGGGTGGATGTTAACCATTACAGGCTGGTTGTTTTCACACACTGTGGCCACACAACACCTTATAAAAGTATTTTTTGCATTATAGGTCCCCTTTAATGCAGCATTTATTCAGACTGATTCTAGGCTAGGTACAGTTGTGGATTCTACTGTAAATATTGTTTTGTTACCATTTTGGTGATCAGTTTTCCATTTGACTGTAGTTTTCATTCATTTTAATTTTTAGAGCTGTTATTTATTTAGTGCTTTATCTCTGCAACAGTCTGTTAAATATTTCACTGAAGAACCCAGTGGTTCTAACTATGGAGGTGGGCGTTAAACCACAGACCTGTAAACTCTTCAACCATTATCTCGGAAATATCTCTGTCTTCCGATCATAAGTCACAAGCGTCAGAAAGTGAGCTTCTTTACAGATATATAATCTTCATCTGTCTCTTCTGAGTTGAGCAGCAACTCTGAGATACAAGAAAGTAAGTCTCTGATTACGTCTGTTGAAAAGAAAGCTTTTTGAGAAAAGAAAACATTTGGCTAATAATATATATATATATATATATAATGAGTAAATTAATTGCTATATAATTAATATTATTATAGCGTATGCAAAAAGTATCCTATTTATGAATGTGCTTTTTTTAGCCAATTTAATGAGAGAATGTAAAAAATGTAAATTTATCAGTGTTTGATATTGCTTGGCTGAAAAGAAGTTACTAAATATAACTGATGATGATAAGCAAATACAAAACTTAAATTAATTTGTTGTAATTGTTTTCTTGCAAGCATGTTTGACGGCATCCCAGGATATGAGGGAATTGCGGCAGGTGGAGGTGGTAAGAAGCACAAAACAATATTAATTCCGTAATTTTTTTCTTAATTATGTATTAATAAATTATTTATTATATCACATTATTTAATTATTATTGCAATAATTAATAGGGCCTCTACCATATAACAGCATTCAAAAGTTTGGGGTCTGTGATTTTTTATTTTTTTTATCTGAAAGAAGACTGAAGAGTTATGCCCACCAAGTCTGCATTTATTTGATCAAAATAAAAACAGCAATATTGTGAAATATTATTACAATTTAAAATAAAATTTCAATTTGAATATATTTTAAAATATATTGTTTTTTCCTCTGATGGAAAAGCTGAATTTTCACAAAGTTCAGAAGAACAGCATTTATTTGAAATAGAAACGTTGTTTATAAATTGAATGCATCCTTGCTAAATGTATTAATTTCTTTTAAAAAATCGTACTGACCTCAATTTTTGTGAATGGTAGTGAATATACGGTTTCATTAAATGATTAATTATACCATTTTTAAAAATATGAATTGCAAGGCCTCACTTGCTAGGGATCCAAGTACATGTAACCCTTTTTGTTGGAAACAGAAGGAAATGGAAGAAAGAGTATTAAGAGTACTAAACAGTTGATGTGTTAACTTTCATGGTTGCAGTGGTATAGCTTCTAGATTTTAGAATTTGGATGCTGGACGGATTACTGGAGTTATAAAAAGTGGTCTCTTGTGAATGTTCCTGTAACAGGTGCGTATCTTCCTCCTCCAATGCCTTCTGTGCCGATGCCTGTGCCTGAACACGCTTCCAGCCATCCAGAGTGGCAGTACGTTAAGTCACATTTATTTTTATAGCTCTTTATACAATACAGATTGTTACACCGATTTCCAATTGGTGTAAATCAAGTTTTTAACACTGTTTACATCTCTGTCTGGTGCTTTTAATAGTCAAGCCAAAGGCAAATGATATCAGTCATCGTGTCTGACGTTGTAGAGAGCGATACATAAAATGCATTTCCATTCTGATACATCGACTTGTAAACGACCCTGTATACTTGAAATCAAAAACTTTTCCTCTGCTTTGTCGGAATCGGTTTCTGGTTCAAATATATACGCCTGAATTAATCCAATATTGCTAATATTGCGAAGCGTTTATTACTTCAGTTAACTGAGTGAAAGTGGAGCCGGTAGTCAGAACTGCTGTGATTGAGTGGAGGCTGGGACTAATTTGCATATTCATGATCTTCGTATATGAAATGAGGTAGACTTATATTCAAGCTATTTTAGGGCATGAAGAAATTATTTTGATGAAAAAAAGTTAAAATGTCATTTTGATTATTAAACATGAGTTTTATGAAATAAAACGGGGATTTTAATGTTGTAAAATAAAATTCATCAATTATGAAATAGCTGTAATGCAGCTCTACAGAAGATCATGAATGGTCCTTCAAATCAGTTCAATAAGCGTGTCGATGTTGCAATGTTAGTGCCATTATAGTTCAAATTTTGTCACTATTTTGTCAAATACTGTTAGTGCAGTTAAATTGATAGTATTACTGAATATGAATTCAATTACTTTACTGTCTTTGTGCTTAACATGGTGATTTCCCAAACTGACTTCTGTTGAATGTTCATATAAATGTATTATTCAACATATCTGCATGTCAACAGTATATCACTATCTTCCTGTTAGCAACAACATTCCTTCCATCTCAGAGGGAAGAGCGCATCAAGCTTTTGAAGAGTACGTCTCCAGCAAGTGCTGCTATAGTTCTGCCCCGGTCAGAGAGGGGGTCATAACTAATATGGAGTCATTTAATACCTACAGGGTGAGACCTAATTTTCATTATGAGCTTTGTGATATTATAATTCATTTTGAGCATGTGGAGCAGAAATGTACAAGTATATATGCATAAATATGGAGTTGGTTTGGCTTTATAGAGCCAAGTGTTGATAGATGTATTCATGAGGTCTGTCTTTTTGTTCTCAGTATCGTTTGGAGACATTCGCAGAGTCCAGATCTACTAAATGGAGTCAGGAGCCTTACACAGGTACTGACAGTCAGTGTTGGGGAAAGTTACTTTTAAAAGTAATGCATTACAATATCGCGTTACTCCCTAAAAAAAGTCACTAATTATGTTAGTTACTTTTTATGGAAAGTAATGCATTTCGTTACTTTTGAGTTACTTTTTAAATCTGGGCAGTGCTTGCATGTTTGTTTTTAATACAAAAAAGTTCTTCTTTTACAAATGTAAAAGCCCTTTCGCAACAGAAGTGAAATTAATACGCCTCGGGCTGAAGGAAATGTAAATTCACGTCTGTACAGTAGAGAGCGCAGCTCAAACAAATTGCATGAAGAATATGACGCAGGACAAGAAAGTTCAACACTATTCAGCAATAACACAAATGAAACACAAATGTGTCATTTTTGCTTATTAGTATTATTCATCGAAGGTCAGTATAGCAAAGACATTGGGTAATAAAATGGGATTAACATAAAAAATTATGTTTGTCTTATTTAACATATTTAATTATTGCATGTTTGTATAATATTCTGAGTTTGCATTTGACTGTTTTTATTCATTTTGAGGAACACTGAATCTGTTTTTGTGCAGGTGAGATGAGTAAATACATGTTTATCTCTGCACTTACTCCCCATTTCTCTCAACATGAAGAAAGGAGAGCTGTCAGTAAATGCATGGGAAACAAAGTAACCGGCGTTACTTATGTGAAAAAGTAACTCAGATATTTCCTTTGAATTTCAAAAGTAATGCGTTACTTTACTAGTTACTTTAAAAAAGTAATCTGATTACGTAACTCGCGTTACTTGTAATGCGTTACCCCAACACTGCTGACAGTCAATAAAGAGATGCTTGTTTAGGCCGCGTTATATTTGCTGAATGAAATCCAATACTTGATTCTTACTAATTTTGGGGTGCCGATTCCAAAATAGTTCAAAATGTTGCTCAAACACATCACACTTTCTCAAAATATGATGCATTTCATAACATTTTTGCTTTTTAATTCTTTTGCTGAAGAAGTCTTGTATCCCTTAATCAGTAGAAAACTTCCACAAATGCATGATTCATATATTCTTCTGAGCCAGCTGCTCGTCTTCATCAGCCTCAAAGTTAAATGGTATTATCATCATAATTCCACTGATAATATCCTAACACTGTACACTCTGTCAAACTCAACTGTCTCATTCTGAAAGCTACTTTTTGGGCCATTTCAGGAGCACTGAGAAGGACGATTACGTGCAAGATTCGAGTGGACTGAGACCAGAAAAGCTGGGGAAGGTTTCAGGAAAGGAGCTCTTCAAAGACGCCCAGATTATGGTAGGGACAGAGAGTGCAGAAGATAGTTAGAAAGAGTAATAAGAAGCTGAAGATGATATATGTGCAATATGGTTGTATGTTTACTGTAGGTCTATCCAGTGATGGGTTTCCCTGATGTTTCTGTTGCACAAGCATCTGAACGTTTAATAAGAGACCATCAGGTGAAATATACCAAGAACTCCCGCATATTACAACAGGTAACTATTGTATTTTATTGACAGTTGTATTATGCCATCATGATCACTTGATACCGATGAATCCTGAATGTGGTTCTTTAAATCAATTTTCTTTTGTTTCAGAGGCAGACGATTGAGCTCATTACCATAACGAAAGTGAATTACACATGGAAAGAGAAGTCCTATGTTTACTGTGTGTATGGAAATGAGTTGAAAGTGAACACTGATGATTATCCCGCCACCTGCTGCTGTTCTGTCATGTGACTCAACAACAACGCTGTACATGCAAACATCAAAACCGCTGACTCTACATCCCACATTCATCACATCTCAAAACACCTTGTCAGAGATGGCTATTACTCCGTATTTTAAAACTGTTTTAGGTGATTTATGTAGATTTTAAAAAACTATGAATATTACAACTTATTTTAATGGTAGTTTTGTAACGCAAATTTTCTGAGGCAGAGTTCTGCAATGTAGCCTGCAGTAAATTTAGAAAATTCGAAATAATGTCTAAATAAAGTGAGTTTTGTGAATGGAACACAGCAACTTTTTATTTTTGTAAAAATAAATCCATCAAATGTGAATGCTGTTTAAAAATGTAAACACGAGATTACTTTTTCACACTTCAGGTTTGCAAAAAGTAAAGTTAAAAACTACTCAGAAATCACTGGTGTCGGCCATGTCCACACATACACGGGTATTTTTATAATCGAGTTTTTCCTTCTTCCGTTTTAAAAAAAATCTCCGTTCACATGAAAACGCAAACGCATGCTATGAAGCGCTGTCAAGTGCATGCTAAACCAACAGGTGGCGATATAATCTCAACCGTAAAGCCATGTTGGCCAATCAGAAGCCTGAAAAAGTTTCCAGTAGGCGGAGATAACAGTGCAGGCTCCCGATGTCACTAGCCAAAAACTCCGGTTTCGCTGTCTACACGATAACACTGCAACTGGAGTTTTTGAAAATCGTCACCCTGGCAGGCGTTTTCAAAAATGTTCGGTTTCAGGGACCTGGTGCTGCGTTTGCATGTTTTAAAAATAACCGCGTTCGTGTGGACATACTCGCACACTTTGAAGGGGATGAATGAAGAAGTGTTCATTGGTGACCAAATGTATGGGTCATTATTTGAATGTATAAAGTAAATGAATAAATATGAATAAAAAAAAAAGAATTACATGTAACATTCACTGATACAGTAACCTCATTAGGCTTAAAGGAATAGTTCACACAAAATTGTACATTTTCTCAAACTAATCTACATCTTGTATGGCCTGAAGGTGTTTCTTCATTAGAACTGATAAAGTAACCTCATTAGGCTTAAATGAATAGTTCACACAAAATTGTAAAATCTTCTCAAACTAATCTACGTCTTGTATGGCCTGAAGGTGTTTCTTCATTAGAACTAATTTGGAGAAATTAGCATTAAATTACTTGTTCACCAGTGGATCCTCTGCAGTGAATGGGTGCCGTCAGAATGAGAGTCCAAACAGCTGATAAAAACATCACAATAATCTACAAGTAATCTACACACCACTCCAGTCTGCATAACATGAAGGATGTGTCATCCACGTCTGCTACATCACTGTAGCAGTTGCTCTACTGATTTTGAACTGCATAATCCGTGTATCACTCGTTTTTGATTTAATATTGAAAGTAGAAAAATTAAAAGAAAAAAAAAACGGCTCCTTTTTCGTTTTTTCCCCAATTAACAAAATTTTCGTTACCGGGGCAGAGTCTAGATGGGGCTAGACAGGGCTTTCTTCTGTGTAGACCAGCGGTTCTTATAGTGATATTTTTATTCTTAAAGATACATAGCAACACATAATCTTAAAAATAAAAACAATGCCATAAAAGAACCATTTTTGTTTCCCAGTGAACCTTTTAATGAACAGTTCTTAAAAGAACCTTTTTTTTCTTAGTGTGAAGAACATTTAAATAATCTAAAGGACCTTTACTTCCAATGGAAAAGTCCCATGGATAAAGCCAATAAAAAAAACTTTATTTTTAATAGAGGAAATAGTGCCAAGAAAGACCAATGCCAGAAACAACCCTGGGCGCGTGTGGTATGTACAAATCTCTTTAAACTGTAGAAACAGTAAAATGGTGCTAACATTAATCGTTATTAATCATTAATCCAAACCGCAGTCCACTATTTGAGGACCGCAGCATGGGAACGGTTGCATAAACTGCTTAGACTAGTCTTAAAAATTTAGTCATATAATTTGTTTTCTTAAAGACTGGTCACAGCTTTGTAAAGTCTGTTACAAAAAGGTAGATTGGCCAAATTTGAGTCAGAAAAGTAAGACTGATTACGTCTTGGCTAACTGCTAGTTGGTCAAACCATTTCTTAAGACAGTGATATTTATCACACAGCCATTTAATTTGTCCTCTATCTGCATACACACAAACTGGTTTCATATTCATAAGCAGAAAGTAGAACAGCTTATTTATGTTACAGAATGATAGTTATATAGTCACTTCCTCTTTCTCAGGTAAAGACTTATGCTCTGAGTTTTTATTTCATAATCATGCTATGGTTGTTGTTTTTTTTATCTATGTCTACATCCAGTAGGGGGCAGCTTTGTGTAGCTGTTATGATGAGTCTTGATTTTAAAATGTTTTTTAATCATGCTTGAACAATTTCTGCAAATTCTTAATGGTTCATTAGTGCAATTACATTTTAATAATAATAATTTTATTACTAGCAATACATATGTCCAGCTTCTATTTTAAAGTCACATTTTGTCACTGAGAAAAACTATTAATTTTAGAAATTTTTGAAAGCCTCAAACTAAAAGACTTTAAGAGTTGAGAACTGCACAGAGACTTGACATAGTATATGACATGTTTATACATGAGACATTTAAAATGTAAAAGTAACAAAATTAATTTAACAATGACATTGGTTTTAAAGCCACTACAGGTCTGTGGTTATGTGTGCTTCAGTTCCTCATGAATGTGCAGATGATCTCGAGTTACATTTCCAGAGAAATCTTTTTTGAAATCAAAGTTGACAGGTGTGACATTAGGCATGAAGTCAATGCATGAAGATCTTCAGTCCTCTTATCTGTGACAACATGAGGCAGCTTTATGTGCTTCTACCGGCCCTTTGGTCACTCGTTAGTAAGTACATGAGATTCCTTTAGTTTTTCTTTATATTTTGTGTCTACATTTTTAATAATGCAGTTTTTCTGCCTTCTTTTTGTATAGATCCATCTCATTCATTATTCAATGATTATCACCCTTCAATGACAGGTATGTAATATGGCATTTTCCTATCTAAAATCTACATAATATAATTTTAATAGCAATTGAAAGGCCTGACACAAGATTTGTGCAATAAGATAAAGTAAATTCATGGCAAATTTGTCTGAGTTCTAAATCCATATTGGGGGACACAACAATATGACTGAAAACAATAAATAAACAATAATCTTACAGTGTTACATACACACATTTCAGACCTGTTTTCAGTAACATAACATATACAGAGGTTAGTTTTGGATTAATATGCACAGTGATTGTTTTACCTTTTTTGCTGTAGCACCAGTAATCAAAATTGTCTTAATTGTGCTATTTTTCTAATATCAGCACTAAACTGGATCACCCAAAGTATGTCTTTAATTATTTTATAACACTGTAAGGAATGGTTTTTCAAAAGTAGTAAATAAAACAGATTTTGAGAGTACTTTTTGCAAGAAAAATATTTCATTTTTCTACTTCAAAAGTTCAATGTGTTAAATTTTTTTGTGAAATTTACGACCAGTTTCTGGGTGAAAACGGTTTCTACATCAAATGTTTAGGTGTTATGTCTGACTTTTTTTTTTTTTGTGCACAAAATATATGTGTCTTAATTCTAAACGCTTACATTTGTCCGTTTTGTAGGTTTTCTGAGCCTATAAACTGTTGAATTATTTATCTCGTCAGTGTGTTTCAGATGCTCCAGTGCCCATCATCACAGTGTACCAGCAGATGGAGGACAGAGAGCATGTGATCGTCATGTGTTCGTTTGGAAGAAGGTTTATTGAGAGCTCTTTGCAGCTGTCAGTGGACTATGAACAGAACTACACCCTGAAGAACCCAGCATGCATTGCACATGATGTGTGTGTGTTTAACATCACTGTGAGGCCTCCTGTTTCTCTGACATGTATACATGAAATCATTACCTTTGGAAATTACAGTTATCTGCTGAGTGAGACCTACGGTCAGTCTGATAAAATACTGATGTATCTGTAGATGCATTTCTGTGAAAGATAACACAAAAATTATGATTCTGTATGTACAATCAATGGTAGATATGTACACATATAGATAAACATCTTCTGTATTTATCATCATTTTCATGCAGTCTTAGAGCATCATGATGGAGTATCTTCATTCTACATTGGCTTTTTCTCCTTCATTGGTGTTGGTGTCATTATAATGACTGCTGCAGTGATCGTGACCAACATTAGAAGCAATGCACAAGGTGTGTGTTTTGTCAATTATTCATTAATTTAAAGCAACAGTGGATATTATGAAATGACCACAGTCAGATCAAACCTAAACTAAATCAAATTGCAAACTCAAAATAGCAGTTTAATTTGTTTCAACACAGATGTACTCTCTGAATGTAAACACTTAAAATATTGATGTACAAGAGAAAAACAACTCACGCATGTATATCTATGTTCTTTCATGACAGATTCCAATAATGACTATGTGGACGTCTGAATAACATAGCGGATTACTGACGACGTAAAACAGACATAAAGGATGATCTGATCTGGAGGGGGGCAGCTTCTCATCTTCCTAAAACAAATAAAATGTCATATACACTGAAAAAAAATGGTGTAGGATTTACTTTGTAATTATTAATTACATAATTATGAATTAATATATTTAGCTATTTTTGAGTGAAAATTGCTTCAAAGAAACAGCAAGAAATCAAAATTAAAGTTTTTTGGGTGTTAGTATCAATATGTTAGTCTTAAGGTTACCTATAAGGCAGTGTGCTCCAAAACAGTGACAAAATTCGCATTTAGAAGATATAAGCATTCAAAGCTTGCAGTTCGTCACTTCCACCAAAACGGCTCAATGATTCTTTTGACGTCACATCGTACTTCAGCTTCTCATCAAACTTTCTGTCCAATCAAATGCTCTCTAGAATCCAAAGCGCCCGCCCCCTACACTATAAAATAGACGCTGAAGCCACGGCTGAAATCGGTCACTTGTCCACAGAATTAGTATTTTCTGTACAGTGAATGGCATGTAGTGCACTATATAGGGGACAGGGAACGATTCAAACAGTGTAAATATGCTTTCCATTGAGGAAAAAAAGAAGTCTGGTTTCACGCTGTGTCACGCCAACCTCCACA